ACTTTAGTAAAGGTGGTTGGATATTCCGACCTGCGAGACCTGTTTTTTTCTTGAGAAAAAGCTTGTTCCTTTTCTATGGGTGGAATGTGTACAAGGTTGAATGATTCCAACGCTTGACTGTCCTCCAGCGCCGCATGCTGTCTCCATTACTAGTACCTTATGACACTAGCTGGTTTGTGTTGTGACTTTAAATGAAATTCATCAACAACAACTAGCTGGCAGCGTCATGGCTGTGTCATACGGTTGCAGATATAGTCCGTTCATCCAAAATAGTCGGGCTGGATTCTGAAAGCCCGACTTTGGCCGAATACAGGCTCAAAATCCCACATTAAAATATAATAATGTGAGTTTGGGACATGTTCTCCCTACGTTTTGCCATGGCATACCTGTCCCAATTTTGTAAAGCCTGGTTGAATTTCTAGCGGTTCTAATCCGTTCACTTCAAGTTACCGTAGTGATAAGTAAGCACCAGGGATTCGTACATGATTGTATTTATACGACTCCCTGGTGTTCGCTGTGCGGATACTCGTCAGCAGATAGTGCAGCAAGGCCACACCGGCGTTGGAGCCTGAACAGTGTCACGTGATCAGCCCCAGAGTTGTGTAGCCTATGATTCTACTGATCTGCAGTGTAGACCTACTCTTGGCAATCACCAGATACACTAACTTTTCTAAAAACTCGCACATACCATTGCAGCTTGTTACACATCAATCACCCTTGACTCCTAGCACACTTTCAACCGTCACTCCACGAACGGTTTCTTCGTTGCGAATAAACTCCTCTCTTCTGACTTCATTGGTGCTGTGGTCACACGTATGTCTTTACCTTCACATCATTATTCCCACTGACTTTCACCCGTGGCCTGGCACGAGGGAAACATGAATGGAGCAAATGGGATGTTCGGTCTTTGACCACTTCGTATGTAGCGGGTCTGATCTACTTATACCTCCCACCACTGTTAGGAGCCGCCACTACGCCTGGATTCTTGAGTGTGGCGGCGTTCCTGCGGACGCGGAAAACTCTGTCCAAACGAGCATCACGCGAACCGTGAAATATTTTTCGCACAAAAACACAGCTCCCCCCGCCCGCCCTTACAAGTTACACCATACATGCTCCCTTGTAGTTCCCACCTCAGGAACAGTAACAGCTACACTGTAGCTGCGACAGCTTTAACTTATCACCATTCACGGCTCTATTGCACTTAGTCATAGTGTTATCTACATGTACATGACTGTATTACACATTCAGTCTGGCTTGTTAGCCTTCAGTTGGATTATGCACCCTGGTGATTGTCCAGACCAGAAAATTTGGAGTCCGCAGAATTAGAAGTGGAGTCTATTCGCCCGCAAAAACACTACCGAGAGTATGTGTGCGTGTTCAAAAAAAAAGAATGAGTGATGAACGACCAGCAGGTGGTCATGCAAGTAAATGAAAAACAATATAATATTATTGCAGCTGGACTCAGACTACGGGCCAGACAGAAGCAGCCAGACGTTTCCGCATCCGCGGCAAGGCAATGATCAAGGCGCATGAGAGGTGAGTGCATCAGACCCACCGCAAAGAAAGGCCCAACTCCTTTTCACCTGGTAGTTTGTTACATCCGGGCTTTGTTTAGTAGTGCTCCCGCTATGCAGCGCTGGGGCCTGCATAGGGACTAGGGAGACTATGCAGCGCTGGGGCCTGCATACTACAGCATAGGGACTAGTATAGGGAGACTATGCAGCGCTGGGGCCTGCATGTAGGGAGACTATGCAACGCTGGGGCCTGCATAGGGACTAGGGAGACTATGCAGCGCTGGGGCCTGCATAGGGACTAGGGTCCAGTAGGGAGACTATGCAGCGCTGGGGCCTGCATAGGGACTAGGGCGACTCCGACTCGGTCGTATAATTCTACTATCCAGTTGTACACAAATAAGGCGATTACGCCATCATTCAAAATGCATTTTTGTGTGGAGGGGGAAACGTTGGTTTGCATGGTCTGCCACTCAGAACGAACTAAAATTATCACAGTTGATGAAGAGGGGAGCGTAGCTGAGAAACACCATACTTTTTGTACAAGCGAAATGGTAATAATAATTATTATTGACTTCACCATCTACACTATACTACACGTCTACAGCGCAGCTGGCACCAGGGAGTCGTAAAATACCGGTATGTTACGACTCCCTGGCTACCACTGTACCAGTAGCAGTACGATCATCATGTACCATGTACAGTCGTGGCCACAGAAATCCAACTCCATGAATAAAGTAACGGAGCCATCGAGTGCACAGAACACTGTGTGTAGTACTAGGGCTGCGTAGTGCCCGGCAACGCTATTTTCTGCAGGAGGTTGGTTTTCTTTGGGCAGCATTGGTAGACCTAAGAGTACATGCATTGCAATGTGTAAGTAGTTTTATATCCTGTAGCTCATGCCCGTATTAGTACCTTTTTCAGATCTCTAGCGGATGGTGCATCGTACTGATGGTGAACAGATCAGTAAGTTACTACCATTTGGGAATTTAGTTGAAGTTTTAGAGGAACTTTATGTGCTGTTTTGATTATTTTTGAATGCATGCAAGCCAAGTTAATATCACACAGAAGAATACCAGTCTTGCAGCTACTGCAAAGTGCTATCTCCAATATTATTCTAAGCACCAAACTCCCAACCAAACAGGCTTAAAAAAAACACTCACAACCACGCCATCGGAGGGATAGTAAGCGTGGTATCGTGCCTCAGCACAAACCTTACAGAATCATGCACTAACACTCACACGCACATGCATGTGTTTGCGTGCGCACACATACACTCGCTCTTGTGCGAGCGCACAGCAGGACAGGATTGGATAATTGTTGATAAGATGTCTATTGTAATACCTAAGGATTCACAAAACGAAGGTTATGGCGACGGCAGCATGCGTGTGCTGATAAACACGGCCGAAAGGCATCAGCCAAGAAATAACAGATATCTCAGGAAGAAGCACACATGGTTGTTGTTTGCAGTATCAAAACCGCCCTCTGGATTGTTTGGCGAATAAAATAGAAGATAGGAGTGATCTAGGGACAGGCAAAGCTAGTATAAGAGATTACTCTGCTGTAGAACGGGCTTATGGTGGAAATGAGTGTGAACACTTGTTTATAGATCGGGGAGGAGAGTTAGCGAATTAAAAATTTAAAAGAATGTTCGTGTCGTCGACCTTATAGATAATTTCTTGCGGTGGCATTTCCGGATCAAACGGAGTATTGCTGAAAGGCAATGGCTCCTCAGTTATCTCCACTTCTTCCAGAACGTTGTCGACTGGATAGCAGGGAAGCTCTGCAGAAGCAAGCACCGAAACACGGACAGGCAGAAACAGGGTTAGTTTATGTTCAGCGTGATTCCAACAAGTTAACCACATCATCTCAAGATTACACATACTTCAAGTGAGGGCATTGCACACGAAAAACCGGGAAACATCATCAAACATGAACGACCATGCACAACTAGAACAAGATGAAAATGCGCAGAGACAACATGGTCAGTGAGGGGATCAGTCAGCTAGTTCTTCTTACCTAGGAGTGCCATTACTGGCTCCTCAATCAGCTCCACGGGAAGCACCTCCAGCTCGAAGATATTTGAGATGGTGTTGAAGCCCTCCAGGAACACAGCCTCCGTGATCAGCATATAGCGGCGGATGGTGTTGAAGATATTCGTGCTCAGGAATCCGTCGGTGACAGTCGTGTTGAGGATCGAGCAGCTCAAGAACTGGTTCATTAAGGCGCCAATGTTGAAGATGGTGCTGTTGTAGATCAGCGAGTTGTTGAAGAGCGTCAGCTCCAGCGTGATGTTCACCAGCTTAGCATGGTAGAGACTGGTGCTGTTGATGGTGGAGTTGAAGAAGAGCACGGAGTCAATGTAGGGAGCCATGTAGAAGCTGCTGTTGGCACAATCCTGCACGTAGAAGAGACCAGTCTCATTAGCGATGACCGGGCGAGTGGCATTGTTCAAGGTGACGTTGTTGAAGATTGTGGCGTTGAAAGTCACATTCACCCATCGAGGAGCCAGGAAGGTCGAGTTGATGAGGCTGAAGTTGGTGTACTGGCATTGGTCAATAGACATGTTGAAGCTGGTGGTGTTGATGAAGGTGTAGTTCAATGCAGTGCTGTTCAATGTAGTGAAGTTGGCGCTGGTGAAGTTCACCATTGTGACATTCTCCATCTTGGCTTCTGCCAGGGTAACATTCACGAAGCTGGAGTTCAGGATGAACTTCTCTGTGAAGTTGGAGCGCATGAAGGTAACATTCACGTAGCGAGAAGCCACCATGCTGACATTGTACATGCTGACGTTAACGGCAGAGATGTTGTGCAGGATGAAGCGAGAGGCAGTGAAGTTAGCCAGAGTCCAGTTTGAGGCAGAGCAGTTGGACAGGGTGAAGTTCAGAGCAGTGATGTTCACGAAAGATGAGTTCACGAACGAGACGTTCTTCATCGTGTAGTTGACCGCGGACATGTTCCACAACGTGTAGTTGTAAGCAGACACATTGTACATGGTGTAGTTAACGAGGCTGCTGTTGATCATGCTGACATTGTAGAATGTGCTGTTGATGAAGGTGAAGTTGGTGGCGTTCATCGACTGCAGGCTGACATTGTAGAATGTAGCGTTGTACAGAGTGAAGTTGGTCAGATTGTTGAACAGTGGGATCAGGCGCGTGCTCGGCGATTGGCACGGGGGGCACGTGCAACCCCCAAAAGTTTCCCCGCTGATGTTGTTCAGGAAAGTGACGTTCTTCCACATGGTGTTGTTCAATGTCACATTGCTGTAGATGGAGCCATTGATGGTGACGTTCCACTTGGTCAGGTTGAAAGCAGATACATTGACCATGCTGTAGTTGTGAGCAGACACATTGTACATTGTGTAGTTTACCAGGCTTGCGTTTATCATGCTGACATTGTAGAATGTGCTGTTGATGAAGGTGAAGTTGGTGGCATTGATCGACTGCAGGCTGACATTGTAGAACGTGGCATTGTACAGGGTGAAGTTGGTCAGGTTGTTGAACAGTGGGATGCTGATGTTGTTCAAGAAGGTGACGTTCCTCCACATGGTGTTGTTCAATGTCACATTGCTGTAGATGGAGCCATTGATGGTGACGTTCCACTTGGTCAGGTTGAAAGCGGACACATTGACCATGCTGTAGTTATGAGCTGACACGTTGTACATGGTGTAGTTCACAAGGCTCGCGTTGATGATGCTGACGTTGTAGAATGTGCTGTTGATGAAGGTGAAGTTGGTGGCGTTAATGGACTGCATGCTGACATTGTAGAATGTAGCGTTGTATAGGGTGAAGTTGGTCAGATTATTGAACAGTGAGATCAGGCGCGTGCTCGGCAATGGGCACGGGGGGCACATGCACCCCTCAAAAATTTCCCTAATGATGTTGTTCAGGAAAGTGACGTTCTTCCACATGGTGTTGTTCAATGTCACATTGCTGTAGATGGAGCCATTGATGGTGACGTTCCACTTGGTCAGGTTGAAAGCAGATACATTGACCATGCTGTAGTTGTGAGCATACACATTGTACATTGTGTAGTTTACCAGGCTTGCGTTTATCATGCTGACATTGTAGAATGTGCTGTTGATGAAGGTGAAGTTGGTGGCATTGATCGACTGCAGGCTGACATTGTAGAACGTGGCATTGTACAGGGTGAAGTTGGTCAGGTTGTTGAACAGTGGGATGCTGATGTTGTTCAAGAAGGTGACGTTCCTCCACATGGTGCTGTTCAATGTCACATTGCTGTAGATGGAGCCATTGATGGTGACGTTCCACTTGGTCAGGTTGAAAGCGGACACATTGACCATGCTGTAGTTATGAGCTGACACGTTGTACATGGTGTAGTTCACAAGGCTCGCGTTGATCATGCTGACGTTGTAGAATGTGCTGTTGATGAAGGTGAAGTTGGTGGCATTAATGGACTGCAGGCTGACATTGTAGAATGTAGCGTTGTACAGGGTGAAGTTGGTCAGATTGTTGAACAGTGGGATCAGGCGCGTGCTCAGCGATGGGCACGGGGGGCACGTGCACCCCCCAAAAATTTCCCCGCTGATGTTGTTCAGGAAAGTGACGTTCTTCCACATGGTGTTGTTCAATGTCACATTGCTGTAGATGGAGCCATTGATGGTGACGTTCCACTTGGTCAGGTTGAAAGCAGATACATTGACCATGCTGTAGTTGTGAGCAGACACATTGTACATTGTGTAGTTTACCAGGCTTGCGTTGATCATGCTGACATTGTAGAATGTGCTGTTGATGAAAGTGAAGTTGGTGGCATTGATCGACTGCAGGCTGACATTGTAGAACGTGGCATTGTACAGAGTGAAGTTGGTCAGATTGTTGAACAGTGGGATGCTGATGTTGTTCAAGAAGGTGACGTTCCTCCACATGGTGTTGTTCAATGTCACATTGCTGTAGATGGAGCCATTGATGGTGACGTTCCACTTGGTCAGGTTGAAAGCCGACACATTGACCATGCTGTAGTTATGAGCTGACACGTTGTACATGGTGTAGTTCACAAGGCTCGCGTTGATGATGCTGACGTTGTAGAATGTGCTGTTGATGAAGGTGAAGTTGGTGGCGTTAATGGACTGCATGCTGACATTGTAGAATGTAGCGTTGTATAGGGTGAAGTTGGTCAGATTGTTGAACAGTGAGATCAGGCGCGTGCTCGGCAATGGGCACGGGGGGCACATGCACCCCTCAAAAATTTCCCTAATGATGTTGTTCAGGAAAGTGACGTTCTTCCACATGATGTTGTTCAATGTCACATTGCTGTAGATGGAGCCATTGATGGTGACGTTCCACTTGGTCAGGTTGAAGGCAGTGACATTAACAAGAGTGTGATTGGTAATGGTGGAGTTGAGCATCGTCACATTGACCATAGTAGAGTTAATCAGGGTCAGGTTCTTGAAGACGGTTGAATTAATTGTCTTGTTGAAGATGGTAGAGTTGATGTAGGTGAAGTTGTAGATGGTGGAGTTGAGGACGGTATGGTTAGTGATGGTGGTGTTGAGGTACGTGAAGTTGTAAGCAGTTGCGTTGACGAATGTGTGATTGAGTAGAGTCACGTTGACAAAGGTCATGTTCAGCAGTGTGCTGTTGAGGAAAGTGATGTTCATCACCGTTGAGTTGATCACCTCAATGTGTCTAACCTGCGTGAAGTTAGCCAGCGTCAGGTTGGTGATGTGGCTGTTGACAATGCGAATCGTCTCGAACGAACAGTTTGTGGCGTGTACGTTGCTGGCCTTGAAGTCGATCCATGTGATGTCCTTGGCAGTGACGTTGTGAATCTGACAGTGGCGGAAGTCTGCTTCTGGACTCTCAGCATCAAAGAGGAGGTGCTCATGCGTAGAGTGGACAATATCAAAGCAGGTTGCCTCTACAATACAGAAATCACAGGAGGAGGCAGAAGCACAGAAACGGGTTACATGTATCTGACTCGTCTTTAAGGCTGTGCTCACAGGATACTTCTGCTGAAAACACAAACTACTGGCCTGCCAGGTTCTGCTCGTCAGCAAACACGGGACCTCTCGAAGGACACAGGGCAGATGCTGGGCGGACTTGTACAGTGCTGATCAATGAAATCCAGACGAGTCATTCAAGTTTGCGCCTTGCATCATTTCGTAGCCCAGTGTTCGCAGGTCTATGGCTGCGCAACGCCCGGCGCCTTCTTGAGTGACACGACTGGATTTCATTCAGCAACACTGTACATCACCTCACACTAGAAACATGGCTGCTGCCCTAAGGATATTCAACAAAACCCCGATTGTGCGAGCAAGTCCAAGCACGGTACTGTGAAGGCCTAGACGGACCTGCCAACCGTGACTAGGCCACGCACTGCCCTGGACGAACCTGCCAACCGTGACTAGGCCACGCACTGCCCTGGACGGACCTGCCGGCACTAGGTCATGCACTGCCCTAGGTTTCTTTCTCCACCTGTTTAGTGTTTGCCAGTGCGCCAGTGCTAAATCATAGCCGCTACAGTGGCCTTGGTGTTTCTGCAGTTGTCTTCGCCACACTGCCGCATGGTGAACATGAAGAAGACCAGTAACTACAAACACATCTATACTATTCCGGGGACTTCCAGCATTTGACCAGTTCTGACGCACAGAACCGTGCATGCATAGCATTGCATACGTAGTGCTACGCACAACCGATTCAACGCATTTTCTGGGTGCTATGTTGGTTACCGTGGCAGCAAAGCGAAAATTCCCCACTGCTACTAGCAGATCTATGTATGCTAGTTGCAGATTTATGTACTACATACCTGGCTCAACATGTCCTGGCTCGTGAAGTCTGGCCACCCGGAATGGGCATTCAGGTCGGTCGGAGCAAGCACACTTGAATCGGTTCTCGTCCTCCGGTTCCACCTGAGTGATGAGAATGGAGGAACCGTAGCCAGTCGGACGACGACGCACAGTGTAGCGCTCGGTGGACTGAGCTGGGATGAGAAGCTTTGGCGGACCAACCATCCACTTGGCGTCACAAATTTCCCGCGGGTCTTTACAGCTCAGATAGGCTGCAGAGTCCTCTTGCTGAGCGTCGACTTCCAAAATCGGGCAGTTGTCATTCTCAGCAGCTGCAGCATGGAGATACGTGAAGCAAACAGCAGAACATAATTGAGTCTGGGTAATACAGTGTGCACGACAATCGGCTATGGAGACGCAGTTCCTACAACGGCGGTAAAATTTTACAATGGGTACAAATGCGAGAGATTTCATGCACAACTCGCAGTGTGCAATACATATTATTATTCCGTGAAAAACATCCACGCAGATGCCAAACAAATAATCCACTCCCACGCTGCACAGTATTTCCTACAGCTTTGGCAAAGGGGTACGACATCACCTAGTGATACAGTCAACTTCGCTTATAACAACACTCGGCGGGGCATCAAAAAGGTGTCGCTATTCGCGAAGTGTCGTTATACCCGAAGTCTCATTATAACGTATTACAGTTGGAAGGGACTTTGCTGTGGGCATGGGAATTCTGTCGTTATTCGCGAATTGTCGTTATATCCGCAGTCGTTATTAGCGAAGTTGACTGTATATCATGAGTGGTACAATGATCACTTGGTGAATGGCAAAGCAAGGGTCTTGAGCCTATGCTCTTTCTTGTCTCTTAATTCTGGGCTGGCTAGCTTGTAGCGTGTAGCTTGTAGCGTTATACACATGGTCACAAGCTAGCGGCTTAAACATCTGGTGAAACCAAACGTTGTCGGCCAACAATTGACCGCCATGATAAGAAGTATTTCCTATAAGACACTCACGCAGGCAGGATCCTCTATGGAGGATGCGGATAGCACGATTGGCTCTGCAGGCCTCGCGGTGCAAGTGACAGTGGCTGGGATACGTATGACCATCGTCTCCACACATCTCTTCGTCAGTTCTGGGCTCCGGACACTGCTCCATGCACTGGCATTGGTACGTATACTCGTCGCCAGTGTTCTCCGCCTGGACATTGTCAGTACGCCGCGTCTTCAAACAGAGCTGGGTGTGACCCGGTTCGGCAATGGCCTCTGTACAAAGAGCAATGCATACAGATACAGAATAGTACATGAAGCTGGGGCTGGCGAACAGTGACTGCATATACAAGTCAACACACACGCTGAACATACTCCTATACTACAGTGTAGTGCCGCTCAATGAAATCCGATCGCGAGAATCACGTTTCTGCCCTGCACCAGTTCATACTGTTAGTTTCACGATTCCATGTATGCACGCACTCACACACCATTGACCTCTCACCCATCTATGTACGTACCCACACACTCATACACACATTACCGGATGCACCCTTTCCCATTCCCGCTTCTCGAATACGCTACAACTTCTTGCTCCCGCACTCTCCCCTCGCTTTCCCGCATTCCCGTATATTTCGTTTGGCCTGGGTAGCTGCATTTGCGCTCTCATAAATTCATTGCCATAGCTACCCAGGCCCTTCATAACCTCGGGTCTCATCCTTTCTCGCTCTCAATCTCATTATTTCAATATCATCATCTCGAGTCCCTAGTGCGAACCAAGAACTTTGACTTCTGTTGTGCCTGCGTACGTGCCGCGAGTATTTTAACATTGTGGTTCTCACACCGGGAATCGAAAACCCAGGCCGCGGCGGTGAGAGCGCCGAATCCTAACCACTAGACCAACCACATGAGAGTAGTGTTTGCAGTAGTCTAGGGCTGCACAGCGCATACTTGACTCACTCGATCGGATTTCATTGAGCACCACTGTAGTTAGTAGCTCTCTGCATGGCAGGGAGGAAAGGCAATACGGCTTGTTGGTGCCCGACAAATTGGCCCAAAGGCGTGACTGGTCGGGCACCAACAAGCCATCCTCAACTGGCATCCACTCACCTACTTTAGAACAGGGTTATCATTCATTCCCCTTACGTAGAAACTGAAAATAAATTTTAATTCAAAGCAAGGCGAGGCGACGAAGAGATGCTAGCTTCACGCTCGGCTATTACACTTCGATCTAGGACTCCATCACTCCAGAATACACTCGCCACCGACCAACTCCCCCCCCCCCCCCCACTAATGGGGTTGTAGAGGAACCATGGTGGTAAATGGGTTTGACCTGCACCCCCCCCCCCCCCCCCACCACCACCACCACCCCACCCACCCGCGACTACTTCTACAGTGCTGCTGTATGAAATCCGACCAAGCGAGTCACGCTGGCCGCTGTGCAGCCCTAGACCTGCAAACACAGACAGTACTACAGTGGGATGTGTACTGGTGCAGGGCACAAACTTTAGGATTCACGCGATCGCATTTCACTGACCAGCCCTGTAGTGTGTATACCAGCCTGCCGCTGCTAGAGTGGCTGCCCAGCAAACGTTCTAATTCGAAGCAACAGGATTTCTCTCTCGCACGTCCACTGTACCTGTCAGAGAACGGCATAGCGGCTTGATGGCAGGCAGCGCAGATTGGTCCAGTTCACAGACATAATCGGGCTCGCAGGTTTGATAGTCACAGGGATCTAGCGAATAGCGGACAAAAACACAAAAATGCAAAATGACAAGGACAAATTAGCGACTCGGTTATTATACCCAGCACAGCTTGCAACGGCTTAGTAAACACATAGCCAGAACGAGCTCAAGTTATGCTCCAATTACCTCAGAAATTGCGACATTATTCATTCCACTGCACGACAAGCTTCACTAGTAACCAGCTCGCTACGAACCACAGTTGGTTGGTGACACAGCAGATGACAACTGCATTACTGAATTAGAGGAGCCAACGAGATATTCAAGTCAGCTATGCATCACGACGCCTTCGACTTTGTCTATAGACATGCAATACTTTTAAATCTTTAGAAAGCAACTGTACTCTGAAGTCTCGACAAAATCTACAGATAACTAATTGTGGAAATATACGGCGCAAAATCTGCAAAGGGAATTTCAGCAGCTCAGCTCAGCTGCACCGGCTGCTTCAACGCCTGACCCTTGGCCGTGTGCTGTCTGAAAGCGCGCAGGATCCAAACACGCTCACAATCGACAGAGAGCTTACGTGCAGGGAGGAGATTCTCAGCAACGATAATAACAGTGCTCTCGTCCTGTACGTACCGGGAAGCAGAAGCACACAAAAAAGATCATTAGAGTCATGTCACCATGGTCACTGGATGGAGTGAAAAGCCATGCATGATATGACTGCATGAGCAATCAACATGATCAAGGGAAAAAGAAGAAAAAAACAGCAATCAATCAAGGGCAGTACTCGTAGATATCACTATCATCAGGGAGTCGTAAAATACCGGTATTTTACGACTCCCTAGTATTAATACTATTATTATAATGCCAAGGACATGTGCACAAGGTCAATCACCAGACCACAGAGCTGTAGAGCAGCACGCTCGTCCGGAAAATCCTAGAAAGGCTACAAGTACAACACTTTCATGATTTTGTAGATCCTAAGCCAAGGTAGCGACGTCAATAGTGGCCACCCGCTTTCATGATTTCAG